GGAGGCTGCGGGGCTGGCGAAGACAACCAAGCCGAGGGGCCCTGGCTCTGCGGCGGGGATCCTGGCAGTGCCGAGAAAACCTTTCCAGAGAAGTAACGTTTTCCAGCTGTGCCGAATGCAAACTGTGGGCACCGCGGACCAGGTGGAGGGAGCGGAGCAAGGGCGGTCTGCGCAGGGAGCACGCGCCACTGAGGCCTCCCGTCTCTCCTCTGCCCCTGCGAGTAGGAGATGGAGCCTTGTGCCCGGATCTCCTCTCCTCCTTCCTGAGGCGACCCTGGTCTTAGCAACCCCTAGGGAGGGAGCCCCGACAGGGCTCCGGAGTCCAGGTCAGGCATTCTGGAAGTGGCAGGGGGCCTCCGTGGTCAGCTCAGGGCCGAATTTGAACTCTAATTGAATCTGAGCGGTAGCTAGGAGAGTGCCCAGCCATAGCCAACACTAAGTTTGCTGGGCTGCATCAAACAGAGCAGGCTTCCTGAAGGAGGCAGTTCAAGCCCTGGTCTAAGTGAGAAAAAAACTACGGGAGGAAAGAGGAAAACCCTGATCTCAAAGGAGCCACTATATTGAGATCTCAGAACTTCAAGGCAAATGGAAGGCATTTGGAGATGGAGGGCAGGAGGTGTGGCAAGCACTTGAGGGAAAATCCATGGTGGTCTCTTCCCTAGTCAGGGAGGACAGGGTCCTAGTTTGGTATGGCACCAAGTTCAGTGGCACCATTGAGGATGCAGGGATCAGAATGTTAGCAGTGGAGCTGGGCCCGGCCCAGAATATTCTAGACTTCAGGCAAGGGCCCTGACTTCTAGGGATAAGGAGAACAGACGAAACAGATGGAGGTCTGGTTCACTGCTGAAGTCAACAGGTAGGGGAAAGAGGGCATAGGCCTCAGTGGGCCTGACTTGGGCCAGATATTCCAGGAGGCCACTTTCCCTTGTAGGGCCCTTTGTGCCTATGTTGTGCACAGGAATGTAACCTGCATTCTACAGGAGGGAGCAGAGAGCTACATAAAGGCTGAGTTCCGGCAGTGTGGATGGGGGCCCAAGTGCTCTGGGACAGTCACGTGAGTGCACCCCCCACCTCACCCCCCACACATGAGAGCCCCGTTTCTGCCTTCACCTGGGAGCAGAGTCACCTGTGCTGCAGCTCCAAAACTCCAGAGAGCTCACCTGAGCCCCAGAGTGAGCCAGGGCCTTTTGAAGCTGTGGCAAGGCATCATTCACAGAGGCAGAAGGAGCTTGGAATCCACAGAGGGACGAGGGGGATGTGGCAAGGGAGGAGGCAGCACCTGGCTAGGAGGAACGGACAGAGGCAATGGAGGTGATGCCACAGGGGGGCTAAGGCAGATCCAGGGAGGGCTGTGGTGATCATGAGAAGGTGGCCTAAGGGTGAGGGGTGGAAGCCAGAGTCCTGGGGCTTAGACAGACAGGCAAGCGGCATGGGAGGGACAGACGTGAGGTTTGCACTTGGAGAGGTCTGAGTGTGCATCTGGAAACAGATCTGTCCTCCAGTGTGTCAGTGGGTGAGCAGATGAGGAGGGGCCCCTTGTGAGCTCTGCCTGCATCTTTAGGTCTTCCCCTCCCTGCCAAAAATCAGACGTGTCCTCCCACCATCCTGGGACCAGAGCTGGGATCAGAGTAGGGTGAAGGAGTAGAAGGAACTATAGAGGGCTAGTGAGAGTGAAGAGGCTCCAAGACAGTAGGAGGTATAACCAGCCTCAGCTCCAGGGCAATACTCCTTCACACCCACAGGGGAGGGCTTGGAGCTTTGTTCTCTAAGATACTAGGAGAGCCCAAGGGGAATTCTTGTGGCAGCATGAACTAAAGAGGGTCCATATGGTCTTGGGGAGATTGGAGCTAAATCTTTTGCTATCCTTCTTCCCAAGTACACAACATAGGTGGGGCTTCTTACCTGAATCCTCCACTCAGAGGCCTCACAGCCCCTGGAAGGCCCCCAACCCACAACTCTGTCACCTTCAGCCCCTAAAAAGGAAAACCCTTGGGGGTGGTATGGAGGTGGGGTCATCTGAGGGTGACCCTGAATGCCAGCTAGGGGACAGGACTCTCAGCCTACAGGTGTAAGATCTTGCCCTCTCACTCTTGCTGGCACAGGTACCGCACAGTGCTCAGACCCAAATACAAGGTTGGCTACAAGACAGTGACAGACCTCACCTGGCGTTGCTGCCCTGGCCTCACTGGAGAAAGCTGCCCTGAGCACCTCACGGACCATGGGGCCACCCCACCCCAGCTGAATCCTGAACCTCAGATTCCCTCAGGGCAGGTGGGCTCAGGTCCCAGGCCCCCTCCTTACAGCCAAGCGGCCCCCGGTCCCCATGGTGAGTCTGACTCTGAATACCCTCCCAGGTGCCCAGGTTTCTTGGGCTCAGGGACAGGGACAGGGAAGGGACTGACCCAGGCTCCTGAGGTCTGGCAGGGTTGGGGAGGGTATGTCTCACACTAAGTGTGCAAGTAGGAAGTTGTGCTCGGTGAAAATGTAGGCCTAGAACAGGAAGCCTCTCGGGTGGCCTGGGAGCAGAGTACCCTGAGGGGGCTGGGCCAGTGATGCTCCTGGAGTCTCTCAACCTCTTTTCTAGGAAGAAAAGGCCTAGGGCTATTTGGTGAGCGCCTGGAACGCCTGGAGAGTGATGTCCAGCACCTGGCACAAGTATATAGTACCCTCAGTGGTCTGGTGGCCAGCCATGAGGACCCCGGCAGGATAAATGGGGACTCCAGGGTTCCTGCTATCCCTGTGGGTTTTGGGGTCATCCCAGAGGGGCATGTGGATCCAAGAGACAGAACAGGAGGACCACTCACACCTCCCCTGGGTGAGATCCTGAGCAAAGTAACAGAAGTGAGCAACACGCTGCGCACCAAGGTGCAGCTGCTCAACGAGGTGCACGGACTCGCCCTTGGCCACGAGGCCCACCTGCAGCGGCTGCGGGAAGCCCCGCCATCCCCACTGACCTCTCTGGCACTGCTGGAGGAATACGTGGACCAACGGCTGCAGCGACTCTGGGGGAGCCTGCTAGATGGCTTCGAGCAGAAGCTGCAAGGCATCCAGAGTGAGTGTGACCTGCGGGTGCAGGAGGTGCGGCAACAGTGTGAGGAGGGCCAGGCAGCCAGCCGGCGGCTACACCAGAGCCTTGATGGCCGTGAGCTGGCTCTGCGCCGGGAGCTGTCACAGCTGGGCACTCGGCTGCAAGGCCTGAGTGTGGCTGGTGGAGGGAGTTGCTGCGGCCAGCTGGCCTTGATCAGTGCCCGCGTGGACAACCTTGAGAAGAACCTGCGGGCAGTTGTGGAGGCCCACAAGGGCCCGGGCACCCCAGCCAGGGATGAGCTTGAGCATCTCTCTGCTGCTATGCTTGAGGGGGGTGTGGATGGGCTGCTGGAGGGCCTGGAGACCCTCAATGGGACAGAGGATGGAGTGAGGAGCTGCTGTCTGAGGATGGAGATGGGGGGCTGGGGTGTGGATGGCTTCGGGTCCATGCTGGAAGAGCGTGTGCAGAGCCTAGAGGAGCGCCTGGTGACATTAATTGGAGAGCTAAATCAGGACAGCGTCCCACTGGGCAGGTCCGTGCGGCCCCTTGTGCCGACAGAGCTGGCCGTGCTAGAACAACGGCTGGTCTCCCTGGAGACCTCATGCACCCCCAGTACCGTGGCAGCCACCCTGGACAACCTCGTGTCAGAGGTAAAAGCCTGGCAGAGCCGGAGTGAGGCCCTCCTACACCAGGTGGCCAGCCACACAGCTCTGCTACAGCAGCTCAATGGCACCGTGGCTGAAGTCCAGGGTCAGCTGGCAGAAGGGACGGGCAGCTCACTCCAAGGTGAAATCACTTTACTGAAGGTCAACCTGAACTCAGTGAGCAAGTCACTCACAGGCCTCAGTGACTCCGTGAGCCAGTACTCGGATGCCTTCTTGGCTGCTAACACCTCCCTGGATGAGCGGGAACGCAAGGTGGAGGCTGATGTCCACGCCATCCAGGAGCAGGTCAGCAGCCAAGGCTCAAGGCTCCAGGCTGGCCACCGGCAGGTCGTGAACCTGCAGGGGGAGCTGGCGCATCTCAAGGCTGGTATGGCCAGTGTGGCCAGGGGGCTGAGCCACTGCCAGGACACAGCCCGAGAACTCCAGCGTGCTGTGGGCCACTTTGACCAGCGGGTGGTACAAGTGGAGGGCATGTGCAGGAGGCTTGGCCTGCTGGCTGCCAGTCTGGACAGCTTGCCCACTGAGTTGCTTAGGTCCAGGGAGGGACTGTGGGGCCATGTGGACCAGCTGAATCGCACGCTAGCCCAGCACACAGAGGACATCGCCCGTCTCCGAGATGACCTGCTGGACTGCCGGGCCCAGTTGGCTGAGCAGGCAAGGCTAGGGCAAGCTAACTAGGCAGGCTGGTTAGGATCCAAGCCCCAGATCGCATCAACTCTGGGAACATCACCCCAGAGCCCAGTCTTACCCAGCCATGCCTGCAGGCCTTCCAGGACCAGCCCAGTTGCCACTTCAGAGGCCACTGGACCGATGGTCTCAGTCTATGTTCGTATGACTGTCCTGGTCATCAGTGCTGCACAACTAGACACTTCAGGATTGTGATCAAGGCAAGGATGTCATGGTAAAGACCAGGATGGACTTCAAAGAGCACACATTCCATGGTCTATGACTTGCTTTTTTACAGACACATCGGAGTTAGCAACTGTGCAAGTTCTTGCCCGTTCTCACACAGGGGCCTGTCCACAACTCCCTTTGCCCACAGCAGGTGGCATCAGCCCTTGGAGATTTCTGTTCCCTTGTATCTTGGCTTCTACCATAGCCATCTGGATGAGGGTTCTACAGGAAAGTGATCCCCCCTGGAACTACCCTTACACCTGGCAGCCTCATGGATGTTGTTTCTGAACCAAGGACCAGAAGCCACCAGAGGTTTCCAGCTCCCCGCATCCTTCAGACCGAATGGAAGCACAGAGACCCAGCTGAGGGTTTTCTTTATTCTTTTTGATCCTCCCTCTTGGTGAGGGCTGAGGCAGCTGTAGATTCCGAGAGCAAAGAGTGATATCCAGGCAATCTGTTTGAAGACCTCACTTTATCTTTGCCCCTTTCCTTCCCCAAAGACATTTTCAGGGCTCTAGTCCTCTTCTTTCCAGTTGGGGAAAAATCTCTGTTCCCCCAGATCAGTACCTCTCCTAAGTGTAGCCTTAGTATATATTGAGGCCTAAAGGAAGCCAGACCCTGAGAAAGCCATAGCTGGGGCAACAGGGGTTTAGGCCTTGCTTTTAACACCCTCACAAAATCCCTGCCCTGCCAGGATGATCACAAAGTGGTAAGAAATTCAGGTATGAAACCATTAAGGCACAACTAGAAAAATGTAAGTGTTCCTCAGGCCCTCACAGTTCCCTGCTGTGCTGAGGCTGTCAGCCTTGGTTTCCCTCACAGTGTCACGGGCCTCCTGTGCTGTCTGCAGGACCCCTTCTGAACATTTGGTGCTGTGCCCTCCACCCTGGCACTGTGCGAGGAGGGCAGATTCTGGATTAAAGCTTTCAGGCAGTCTAAGAGTGCTTTTTTTCCTCCAAAGGCAGTGTGAGGGAAGGCTGCTGGGGGTGTTGCCCTGTGCCTCAGGTGAGAGCTCATTCAATAGCTGCACACTGCACTGACTTAGAGGCCAGGCAAGGCAGTCAGCAAACACCACCTGCCATGGCCAGGTGTGAGCCTGAGTCCTCAAAGAACATTCTGAGAGGACCTGGGACAGTGGCCAGGCTTCAATGAGGCAAGCAGAAGCCATGTTCCCTCAGTCCTTGTGGGACCCAAGTTTCCTTTCCCTGATGTCAGAGGGGCCCTGGAGCATTAGACTTGGGACTGATGCCTGGGCACCAGTGAGGGAGGCAGTGATGCCAGGCTCAGGAACTGGACATGGGTGGGGCCGTGGAGGAGTTACTTTGTAGGGTACAGTCTGGGCTCCCAGAAGAGCATGGCTGGAGCACTATGTTCTTTCCCAGTGCCACTCAGCCACACCCCGCTGCCGCTGACACCCTCTTCCCTGTACATAGAGGCCTCAAATCTTAGAGGGGCCATCTACTTCTGACATGTTGAGTTCAGGCAAAGTCCCAGGGTGGCTGGGACAGGACAGACAGACACATCAAAGACAAAGACAAACCCTGGAAGGGCCTAAGTGACTTTTTTTTTTTTTTTTTAACAGTGCTAGAGATGGAATCCAGGGGCTCATACTTGCTAGGCAAGCTATGTCCTCAACCCTTTTTATTTTATTCTGAGACAAGGTTTTAACTTAGTTGCCCAGGCTAGGCTCACTTGCAGACGTCTTGCCTCAGCCTCCCAAGTAGCAGGGATTACAGGCATATTCCAGCATTCCTACCAGTACCATGCTACAGGTCAAAGACACACTGAGATCTAGAGCAGCTGCCTATACCCTTTGTCTAGAATAGGGGGTCTCTGTGACTACAAATCAGTGTGTAATGCCCTCCTCCTCTTTAGTGGATTAGAAGCCTGTTGTACCTGGCTTCCAACCCCTTGTACGGCCAGATACCCAGTCCTGGACTAGGCCAGAGGGGGGTGCAGCTGGGGCCGGCTCAGGCCAGGGCATCAAGGTCCACAGCAGGCAATGGCTGCCGCCAGTAGCAGAAGTTGCTGTATTCAGGGTTGATCAGGTCTGTGCTGGGGCCACGGGCCACAGGTGGGAAGAAGAGCTCAACCACCTCACCAAGCCGCTCATACCTACAGGCAGGACAGGGTGGCACTGAGAGCCTGGGTCATCCTACCAGAAGAGGAAGTAAAATTGGGGCCCCAGGACAGGCCAAGGCAGGGCAGCAAAGGGGACATGTGGCAGGGTTTGGCCTCACGTGGATTTGTGGTTCTTGGTGAGCTCCTGGATGAGTTCTCCCTGGGGGTTGACCGTGAAGATTCGAGATTCAGGTAGGCCTACCTGTCGATAGGCAAAGACGTCCTGTGGAACAAAGAGGACATGGGTGGTAAAATTGAGGCTGCTGAGGGCTGGGAAGGAGCGGGCTCAGCCCATGGGGAGCGGACACACTCACATTGGGCCTGTTCCCAAAGGCAGCATAGAAGGGCTGTCCATGGGGCAGAAATAGCTGCTGGATGTCACTCAGGCAGGCGACCTTGAACACCTCTGGCTTCTTCTCAATCACCTCCCTGGAGCAGCCATGGACACAGGCAGGGAAAAGGGGACAAGTAGGAGCAGTAACCAGAGGGAGCAGGGGCAGGGGCAGGTGACCCAGCCCCAGCTCACACCTAAGAACACACTAGCTAGGCTGGGCTGGCCATGCACCTGCCCCTGCCCTCAGGGCCCTGGGCTTGTGTATGGGGTGGTTACCTGTGGAGGGCAGAGAAGAGGCTGCTGGGAGACAGCAGGATGGGGCCCTTGGGGAGGCTGCAGCCACCCTCGCTCACCCACTGCAGGTACCCCTTGGTGAGGTCAGCCATGCCAATGGCCCGTGCTGAGCAGTACAAGAACTTGTATCCATTTCTGGGAGAGGGAATGAGGTGGCTCAAGAGTTATCAGAGACTAGCCACTCCTACCCCTCCACTTGGCTTTGGCAAGCCCAAACCAGCCCAATCCTGTGGTTCTGGCCTTCAAATCCAGAGGGTTTTGCAGGGAGGAGACTTGAGGAAAGGGGCAAGACCAGGCCTTAATGGCCGTCCCTGCTTGAAGCTCAGGCACATTCCTGAGACCCAGTAGGTCAGGCTTCCCCACTAGACTGAGGCCAGCAGGTAGATGGCTCACAGGAGAACTAAGGACCAGAAAGGTCTCAGTGCTCTGTGGACCTGACAGGCTGACACCCTTGTGGCCCCCGTTGGTCCCTAAGCTTGTCTTCCCATGGCAGAAGTCAGAGTGGTCTAAGATATCCTGTTATCCACCCTGCTTCTACATGGGGCCCTGGCTCAGTCCCAGTCCGATACTCACAGGTGGATTTTGTGGTAGAGACTAATGATGCCTTGATGTGTCCAGTCTTTCCCCAGCTGGGGCAGAATATGTCCTAGAGCATCCGACCTACAGTCAGAAACGGTCACTCTGAGGCTATCCCACATGGCTCTCATGCTCCATGGGTGGGACCCGATAGGACTCAGCCCCCAGCCTCAGGATGGCCTGCTGGGGAGGGCCTCCCACCCTGCCCCCTGCCCCTCCAGACACCCAACACAGAGGTGAGTCCTCAGGCCCTCCCTGCCCTCCTCATGGTCAGCAGGGTCTCACTTGGTGATGGTGCCATCGATGTCAGAGATGATCACCTGGTCATCCCATTTCCACAGGTAGATGGTGGCCTTGCAGCGGCAGGTGCCCTGGTACTGGGTGGTCACGCTGAAGACCACATCATTGGCACCTTCATGGAGATTCAGGCGCCGCTGGAGCCAAGCAAGGGAGAGGGGTGTGATCTGCCACTGTCAGACACTGTCTACCTTTTTCCACCCAGACTGTGGCCTTTGACCCTCACAGGCCTCTTATTCTCCTCTTCCAGTTCAGAGGCCATTCTTAAAGAGTCTGAAGACAGCCACACACAGACCCACATGGGTGGAGTGTATCCATGCTGATCTGGGTGCTGGCACAGGAGCCTTGGCACCCCCACCCCCCTTTACTCCCTTAGGATATGAATCTGAGAGAAACCGCCTCTGTGACTTCCTGCCCATGTTTCCAGGGTCATCACAAGGCTTGGGCTGTTCTTAGAGGGAGACATCCCACTCGATCATGGGGTCCCTGTGGGCTCTTCACAGGAAGCCCCTGCCTGGAGCTAGGGTACTTGACTCAGTGTTGCCCTAAAGAGAGACCTAGAGAAGGATGAGGACAGCAGCTGTACCAAAGCCAGATAACTTCCAACGCTCAGCTGATCCTGAAGTGGGAATGAGCTCCAGAGTACCACCAGGTCAGTGGTGGCTGCCGTGTACCAGACTGCTCAGCCCCTCCTGCATACTTCCCTGACCTTGGTGCCACACTCAAGAGAGAAACTTGTTCTTATTACAGAAGCCACTAGTTACAAGTTTAGGGAACTCATAACAGCCCAAATCTGAAGAACTTGGCAGGATTTGTTTCTTTTAGTGTGGTTTCCAAGGGCAGACCCAGAACCATCTTGTTCACTGCAGGTACACGTCTCAGTCAAAGCATTCAATAGAGAAATGGGTTGGTGTGGAAGAAGTGAGACCCCTGTGCCTGATGGTATTCAAGCAGAGGCTGGCAGGGAGCATGCCCAGAGGACGGATTCTGGCCTGTGGTGACCTGTGCCTCAGCTTGGCCCCGAGACCGGGACAGAATGAGCTCACCCTGCCAGGAGGTTCAACTCACCCCATGGGTGTGCACTTACAATCTGATCAGAAGAGAGACGAAGGGACTTCTTATAGGTAGGAATGTAGGCTGGAGTTGAGGGTGATGGGGAGGGGGCCTCCAGGATCACGGGGCTGTCTGGGGCATCATCATCATCACTGCTTGGGACTTCTGTCTTCTCCCTGCAGGCAGGACCCACACTCAGGCCATCTCTCCAGCGGAAGGCCAGTCATTTGAAATAGACGTTCACTCTTGACCCAGCCCATGAGTATCTTGGGTTTGTCCTTGTCCTTTCAAAGTCCTTCCCCTCTAGGTGCCACCACGTGGCAGGGGGCCAGACACCAGTGCTGGTTGATAGTGTCCAGGGTGTAGGGCATGTCCTGGAGATGTTTACCTAAAGCAGTTAACATGCATCCTGGGGTGTATTCCTAGTCTCACTGCTGTGGTCTCAGCCAGCCCATCCTTGGCCACCCTCTACCCAACCTCACACGGCTGGGTCACTTCAGAGGTGAAAAAAGAAAAACAAGTCATCTGACCCCCTGTGAGCTGGGGAGAGGGAGGCCCCCTTCTTCTTAACATGGCAGCCTCTTGTCCAGGCCAGGAGCCTGAGCACCTGTTCCAGCTCTGGCCGAGGGACATTTAATGTCTCTAGATCTTAAGTTCTCCCATATGTGCAGTCTGGACATGTTTCGGGCAAAAGAATGATGAATCGAGGAATGATGAAGAGTCACAGCTGGAGAAGGTACTGCTCCGTGTCCCCTGCTCCCTACAGCAGTCCTCCCTGAGCTCCCGCTGCACAGCCCTGCCAGGAGCTCCAACTCACCCCTGCTGCTCCCTGGCTGTGTATTTCTCCCTCTGGACACCATGCTGTGGAAGAACAGTTATCAGTGGATTCTGCCCCCTGTCCTGTGCTCGCCCTGCCTCGTGTCCATGACCACCCACCTCCTCTGCTGGGAAATCCCTTCGTCGCCAGGAGAACCACCACCGCCCACCTTTCCGGGGCATCTTCTGCTTCTCCAGTTTGTCCACGGTGCTCTGTGGGCAGAAGGCCATGGCAGTTCTTTCTGCACCCTACAAACCTGTCTTACATTGCCCAGCCCACCCCCGCCATGAGTCTAGAGTCAGGGCCAACCCTATAACAATACACTGTCAACATCCATGGGCTGAGGAATCATGTTGACCTCCCTCCAGAGACTCCAAAAGATGACTCATGCTTTTCACGGGAGATTAGGACCATTCCTGTTCCTCAGCCCTGACCTAGCTCAGGCCAGCCTCAGCCACAGAGAATAGCTAAAGGTAGCACTGCTCTAGGAATTTCTTAAAAACTGGTGTTCCTTGCACAGTGCTGCCAAGTGGCAGCAGAAAGGAGTCTATAGCTGGAAATTCCCTCTAACTCCAAGGCAGACATAATCAAGCCCCTGAAGTCAGTAATCCTCTCCCATGAACAGCCTCCCATACGGTATGTTCTCATTACTATCTGACTGGGGCAATATGACCTTGTGAAAAATGCTGATTAGATCTGTGCTAGGTGACCCCAGGGAGAGCCCAGGCCAGGGCCCACCTGAAAGAGACACCAGCATATCCACAGATGCAGAAGGATGAACCCTAGTTCAGGAAGACATGGGCTTAGGTACATCAGTCAGGGTACCCCTTGTGCTGGAAGCAGGTTGGGTGAGGTTCCTTGGGGGACTTGAGTAGTGGGTCTGTCTGGGTAAGATTAGGAAGGCCAAGCAAAGGAGTGGCTGTCTTCCTTCTCAGAAGATAGAACAGTGTCATATAAGGGAGATGGCTGTCAACATCTGATTGGTAATGCTCTTTGGCTAAGCCTAACCTATCTAAGAACAATGATTCATGCCAGGTTGGGGCCCTAGAAAGCTTCCAAAAGGGCAGAAAGAACAGGCACAGGGTGGAAATGGCCAGCAAGGCTCAGGAGGGCCAGATGAAGCTTCTGGAAGAGAATGAAGAGGATGTGTCCTTTTCTATCTCTTGGGCATCTGTACATGGTGTTCCCTGCCTCAAATTCTCAGGGCACACTTACCCTCCAATCTGCCCCCAGGACCCCTGGTTCAGCAGCCTACCCCTCATTGAAGGCTTTTGCAGCACCCCAGTCCTCTCCTTCCCAGCACACAGCTGAATTTTATATTGATCAAGTGATTTCTTTGATTAGCTCAATCTTCCTAGGAGGTGAGGACAGTTTCTGTTTCATGTCTGTCCCCAGTCTGGGCCTAGCACATAGTACATACTAACAAATGATTAAGCCGATTAGTTGAGTAAGCAGCCCTTGGTCCTTCCTGGTGGGATAGTTTTAGAGGAAGGGAAAGAATTAGACCCCTGTCTCCCAAGCCTCATCTTTAAGACCCCAAATCTTCCTGTTGGAGGCATGCCCTGTAGGCATCTATTGGATATTTATGACCCTCTAGTTTGTCCTGAGCTCTTTTGAAGTAGAGTCCAAGTCCAATAGGATCCGCCCATGGCCAGGAAACCCCAAAGAGGTGGGGCTTTGTACACATGAGATGGGACTGGGCTTAGGGATGTGTATCTCCCCTCTCAGAGTCAGTCCTGCAACTAGCAGCAGCAGGCCACAGGCCCATCTCTCCACTTGTTTGCTAAGAACCTCTCAATTCCAAGCTATGGCCCCAACCATGTTCTAACCATTACCTTGGGCAAGTTCTTCTGGAAAGCCTGCAGGGAGAGGATCATGGGGGCAGCCACAGCCCAGTTATAGTGCCTGGAAAGACAGGATAGGTGTTGAGGTTGCAGTGGGTGACTTTGGGCACCAGCAGCCCCAGCCCACTACTTACTTCTCATTGATTTTCACCACTAGGTTTGGGTCATTCAGGAGCCCAGGGTTTTTGGTGAGATCCTGGTAGGAGACGATGTGCTGGTTGAATTTTTCTGGGCACACAGGCAGAGAACGAGGGGTGAGGCCAGAACACCCTATGTGACCTGCTATCCTCCTATGACTCCAGACTCCCACGCTTTATCACACATCAGCCAGTTGGTTCTTTGACCTGCCAGGAGTCCTCCTTATCTGTGGTTTTTGTACCTGTTCCCACCCCAAGCATGTGCTTCACAGGGACTTGGGAATGCCTCGCCTGTCTTGGCCAAGAGAGGCCTCCGGGGTAGAGGATGGCAGCCTCGTGTCTCCTAAGTAGGTCTTCCCTGCTGTTCCCCGTCCTCTGGGCTCCACACTAATCCTTGGAAAGGCTCCATGTCTGGTCAAACATACCCTGGGAGATGTTCCGGCTGTCTGCCAGTCCACCACAGAGGGACAGTGCTATGAGGTCCACTGAGTCTGGAGTGGATTCTGGTACATGTTCGGGGTTGAGGTTCCCCAGGAGCTTCTGGCTGCAGGGTTCACTCCACCTTCTGGCTCCTAGCCCACAACTGCTGGGGGCAAAGGTGTTGACAGTGATATAAACACAAAGAAGAAATAGGTGAGTTCCTACTCTTCCCAGCCACTTGACCAGGGACCTTTGGCCCCTACAACCCAGCACCTTTGAGGGAAGTAAAGAGCTGCATTCTCAGAGTCCAGGGAGGACAAGTCATCCAGGTAGATGTCACTGGGGCCCAAGTGCTGGCTTTTCTTCAAAGAGCCTAAGGATAGAGGAAAGGCATATGCTCAGTGGCATGAACAGCATGTGTCCCCTTGCTTTATGACTCCAAGTCAGTGCTGTCCAACAGAACTCACTGCAATGACAGAAAGGTCCCATATCTATCCTCACTGTCCAATATGGTAGCCAGTAGGCATACATGGCTATTAAAAACCTTTAAAGTAGGGTTGGTATAACAGAGAAACAAAATATTAAGTATAATTAATAAATATATATATATATTTTTTGTTGTTGTTGTTGTTGTTGTTGTTGTTTTTCTTTTAAAATTGGGGATTGAACCCAGGGCCTTTACACTAAGCTATATCTCCAGCCATTTTTTTACTTTTCATTTTGAGACAGGGTCTTGCTATGTTGCCCAGGCTGGGCAAAAACTTGTGATCCTCCTGTATCATCCTCCGAGAGCACTGGGACCATTGGTGTGGACTACTGCACTTGCAAGGCAGGCGGTGGAACCACTGAGCTAAATCACTGGCCTTGGCTTGTTTAATTTTAAAAAGCTGCATATAAGCCAGTGGCTACTGATTTGGATGGTGCAGGCCAAGTGCCTTCCCTCACTCTTAGGTAAATCCCAGCCTGTGAGCTGGGAATGGTTCATCTCTTCTCATTTCGAAGACTTCTTATCCCAACCCTCTTTCCCTCCTCCCTCAAGACTTACCAGCTGCCCTCAGTTCCTAGACAGGAAATTTCTCTCCTGCCTGGGAGCCCTGACTCATGCTGTTTCCTCCGCCTAGAATTCTGTTGTTCCTTATTTGGCTAGATCTTTATCATCCACATCTTGCCTCCAACATCACCTGCTCAGAAAAGCTTTCCCTGATCACCTGATTTGTTTTATTTTTTTAACAAACAAGGAATATTTTACTACATGCATGTCCTCTCAAATCCCCCACAAAAACGCACCCACAGATAGGAGCAAAGAACAAAGTTTTCTAGCCTCTCTGGGATACATAGGACATCATATCTTATAGAAACATAACGACTATAAAACAAAGTGTACTAGTTAACCTCATCCTTTGCCTCTGGGTCAAGAAAGGATGTAGAGAAAAACACTTCATTTGTACTCCTCTACTGCAAATGTGCTGCACAATTAAAATTCAGCTTACTGGAAGAGTTACTGATGGGAAACTTCAGGAATATGGAGGAGGCATTCAGTAATCTGATCACAATTAGCAATTAAGCAATAAACACGAATAAATGCAGCATGTATTACTTGTTCATCAAACCTCACGTTGATAATGGTTTATCACTAAGTGGAACTGGTTTCTTGCTTTTTAGGAGACACCAGTTCCAGAAGTGGAAGTAGAAAGTACTTTAAGGAAAAGTGATTTTAGAAAATACCTCCTTGGACCTGAGCTGCTATAGTACACACTGCATACTTGGGTTGGGATTCAACAATTTTTAAAAGAGAGACACTAACAAACTGAATTGCTGAAGGAGAGAACAAAGTAATATGTTCTAAAGCAATACATTATGTTCTGCTTATATCCTCCAGGGAGCGAGACAGAACTAGGGCGTGGTAAACAGAAATTTATAATACAGTGTAATGTATAATAATTTGTTTCCATGTAGTGCTATTAGGGGTACTGCTATCATTAGGACTAATAAAGGACAATTTTAAAATGTGCTTGATCACTGAATTTAAATAACCCCCTTTCCAACCAATTGCTCTGCCCATGTGGCCCATGCCAGGCTTTTCCTTGTTACACGTGTGTCATTTGTCTCCCCCAGTGGACTCTGAGCCCCTTGACAGCTGGTGCCAAGCATAGTTCCTAGTGCCCAGTAGATACTCAGAATGTACTTGAAGTCCCAGAGCCACCCAGGGGATAACATGAGGCCAGGAAGCAGTGTGAAGGGTCAACCAGCCCTTACCTTTCCCCCTGGAGACTTCTGGCTGCCCAGTGGGAGCAGGGTTCTCCAGAATGGCCCAGTTCCATGATTTAGAAGCAGGAAGGAAGTTTGCATCCTTGGAGCTCAGGGCCTTTGTTTCTTCACCCTCTGGGGAGGGTTGAGGGGGGTCCACCAGAGTTTTCCTCCAGTGGGATTCCGTATCAGGCCAAAGCAGATTAGCACTATCCCCTGTCTGTGGGATTGTGAGTCCCAAAGGGCCCAGGTCAGCCGCAGAGGAGGAAAAGGTACTGTATCCCCTCTGAAGAGGAATAGTTGCTCCAGTGCCTCTTACAGAGACCACTGAGGACTCAGGCTGCTCAGCTTTGGCCACCTTCAAACAAATATTGGAAGATATGGGCAGGTTCCAGCCTGCCTTCCATGCCCCACAAAGCTTTGAGGAAGGTGTCCCACCTCCAATCCCAACCCACAGGGTCCAGGGAGCCCCTGAAAGGCAGAGACAGGGCTCCCACAGAGGAGCTTACCTTAGGCAGCCTCCCCCAGGCCCACTGTATGTGGGACTCGGCTGTCAAGGCACTGGATTCCGTAGCCCGAAGCTCCAACTCTGAGTCACTCTTAGGGAATATTAGCCCACCTGACAAGAGGCTGCAGGAAATATACTCAGAGACCTCCTCGCCCCAGTCCCTACCCTCTGCTGTCCAGCCTGAGGAGAAAATGTGTGAAACATATTTGTGTCTGTGTCAAACTTGGGATATACAAAGGAATTTAAAGACATAAACACTATATAAATATACAAAGAATTCCTACAAATCAAAAATAAGACAGTCCAGTCTAAGAAAAAACTGAGGTCAGGATATGACTGCTTAATGAGTACAGGGTCTTCTTTGGGAGTAATGGAAACTTCTAGGGGGTTTCTTTGGGGGTGATGAAAAGTTCTAGAACTAGATAGTGCTGGTGGCTGCACAACATCCTGAATGCACTCAATGCCACTGAGTTGAACATTTTGGGTTGATTAAAATGCTGTTTTATGTTCTGTGTATTTTACTGCAATTTAAAAATTTAGCAAAAGACTTGAACATTTCAAGGGCCAGAGATTTAGATCAGTGGTTCTGCTGCCTGCCTCTCAAGAGCAAGGTCCTGAGTTCGATCCCCAGTACCAAAAAAAAAAAGAACATTACAGAGAAATAAAAATGGGCAGTAAATACATTAAAGGGGTTCTATGTCATTAGTCATCAGAAAGAGGCACTCTGAGCCTAGATAGATCTAGATCTCTGGATCTAGAGAGCCAGCTGCAGCCCACCTGGGTGCCTACCTGTCCTGGGGGAAGCACTCGCCATCAGAGTAGGGGTAGATGTCTTTCGGCTCCAGTGAGGATTCTCCTTCCAATTGAGCACTGCTGAAGGACCACAGGGAAATAGTTACCAACAGGGTAGGACACACCAGGCAGACAACAGGAGCTTGGACATCAGGAGTTTGGGGAGGTGAAGCAACTAAAGTCATACAGCATCCACAGAGGAACCTGCACTTGCACCCCCAAATTGGTATCTCCATAACCACAGCCTTCCCCAGATTCCTGCACACCCTAGAGAATCCTGCTTCAGCTTTCCCAGCAGGGATAATTCACACTCAGTGCCAGCCTCCTGCTCCTCAGAGCTAGACTCAGTTACTACTGCATCCTCCTTTCGCCTGGATTTCTTCCTCCGACGCTTCTTCCTCCGCCCCTTGATGACAAGGCCTTCGTGCTCACTGGCTGTGCCAAGCTGGGAGTCTGAGGGGAAGCCAGACAGGCCTCCCCAAGGGATGGGAGAGGTGCACAGGCGGGGAGGCACATCCTCCTGTGGGGCAGACAGAGGCAAAGCTGAGGTCAGATGCCACATCCGCAGCCATCCTGAGCCCTACCTGAGGCCCAGGCCTTGCATTAAACTCATTGAGGGAAGCAGGTGTGGGCACTGGGCAGAGGTAGCAGCAGCATGGCCCAGTAGCCACAGCTACCCCTCATCTCCTCTGTCCAAGTCTGTTACAAGGAGATATTTCTTTAAGGCTCTGCCTAAGGTTACCTCCTCCAGCAAGCTTGTCCTGACTATTCCCAACCCCAATTTTAATTCCTTTCACTGTAGTAGCCAAATAGGTCCATCACTTGTTCATGTATCTGTCTTCCAGACCAGCCAGGAACTTTCTTTGAAAGCAGGAGTCACCTACATAATCTCTGGCATACATATACTTTGTAAGTTCAGCCACTTTAAGCTCCTCCATGGGCTCGTGCTGGGCCCTGCTTCCCTTTAACAAAAACCCCTCTCCATCCTCCACTTACGCACTTCTGGGTTCCAGCTGCACAGACTTGGCACCAGACCCAGAACAAGCCAGACTTATGCCTCCCAGCCCCCAGACCTTCTCTTCTCCAAGCTGCCCAGGGGCAGAGGGGACCTCCTGGCATCCGCCGGGGTCACTCAGATGCCTGCTATTCCAAGACCTGGAAGTAGTCTTTCTCTGGAGCAAAAGCCAGCCCCCACTGACGCCCCTACATCAGACCTCTGCCATTGGGCTGCTCACAAGGACGGGGACAGTGGCAAACCCCAAGGCCCCACCCAGAGGGGGCACTTGTGACAGGGCAGGCTCAGGCTTGGATGGCAGCACTCACCTCGTCACTCTCCAGCTCCTGGACAAAGAAGGCCTCCCCACTGTCCCCCAGCTTCATTTGCAAGTCCACTGGCTCCCCATTGATCTCAATGTCCACCTGCAATGGGAAGGGGGAATGCATGGTCCACACCACAGGCCCTCAGGCCCACGCTCTAGTCCACTGCAGACATAGCTCCTTGCTGCCCCATCTCTGTCCTGTCTGAAGCCTTCTAGTCCAGACCTTAGTGTGCCTGGCTGCTTGTTTATCACTTGGTTTCCACATTCCTCTCTTTCCTATGCCTCATGAGCAGCAACATGATCTGTCTCTTTTCAGCCCCTAGGTCATTGACTGCATGAACAATGGTGAGATTCACTGCTTACTGGGCACTTTGTATGGTGTTTTGCACAAATTATCTCTTTAATCTTCACAATGACCACGTGCACTCACTCCTATTATTATCTCCATGGGGGGGCGGGGCGGCGTGTTAAGTCATTTGTGAGGAAGTGGCCCCTCAGCAAGTGAGTCTATGAACCCAGAAAACCTGAGTCCACAACCCAAATTCTTAACCTCTGAAGTGTACTGTCTCCCCTAGATTACACTTTCCCATAAGCATTCTGGGAAGTGCATAGTCACCTCCACATAATGGGATTAGGGCCCGCCCCACCACTGTTCACACCTGGGGCCTGGGCCCTAACAAAAATCTCTACCACGTTCACCTGAGCCGCGTTTCCTAAGGAAGAGGAATGAACCTTGGAGCATCCCCATATATCTGGCCCTTCGGCAGTATTATCACTGCCTGTTTCCTCTCCCAATCCATCTCACCATCACCATGGGTAGAGATCACATACATCTGCACAGGTGAAGCGACCCGGCTCAGCCATGAGGTGATTCAGCAAGAGCAAGGGTGAAGTCAGTAAACTGCAGCCAGGTCTGATGGCTGCAACAGTCAGCCTGCCCTACCAGGCCTCTTCGATGGAAAAATGGGGATCCTCCCAGGGCCCAGACCCCAAAACCTTCAATGAAAATACAAAATAAGAGAAACTTGCCCAAAGGACAGACGCCCACCTAAGAGAGGCCTGGGTCCTCTCCTGGGGCTGAAGTCGATGTCCTGATTTAAAGGGCCACATATTGTGGCACATGCTGCAAATCCTATCACTCTGGAAGGCTGAGGCAGGGAGATCATAAATTCAAGCCTAGCCTGGACATCTTAGTGACTTAGCAAGACCCAGCCTCTAAATAAAAATAAAAAGGGGCTGGAGATGTAGCTCAATGTAAAAGCGCTGGGGTCAATTCCCAGTACTGGTTAAAAAAAAATCTGAAAGTGGCCACCTGGCCAGCCAGAGCACTCACCACCTTCTCCCGAGACCGCAAGACGCCCAGTTTGCCAAACCGGACGTGGAAGGGTGAGCACTGGAAGGAGCCGTCCACTTGCTTCACCACCAGCACATCGATGCCACCGCTCAGGGTGGTGGGATTCAGGCCCCGGTAGAGCTCCTTCACCGTCCCAAACACAGTCTCCGCCAGCTGCCCCACGTAGTTCATGGCTGGCTGTGGCAAAGAGATGCAGTGCTGTAGACCAAGGCTCCCTCTGTAGAGGGATGACCCTTCTGCAGCCTGATCATCCAGATGCCCAGGTTTATGTTGTGTCCTGCCTGAGAGCACAGACAGCTGTGGGATGTGAGATGCTCCTCAAGACAAGGGTCTGCCCCTGGCTCCCACACCAGCCTCCCGTGCTGCCTTCCCCAACTGCTGATCTCCACCTCTGTAAAAATAAAGGCACAGGGTATGACAATACCTAGGTGCCTGTGCTTCTAAATGCCATGACTCACGGTAATGAGCACAGGGCTCAGTGGGTATGGCTCATTTAATCATCACAACAACCCTGTGAGGCTGGCAGAGTGGGTGTTATTACTCCTGTTTACAGGTGAGCCAGCAGAGGCTTTGAGAGGTGGAATGACTTGCCTAAGATCTCACATCTAGTAAGGACAGGACCTGGGATTCGAGCCCAGACTGGAGTGAACCAGTGGGATGACTCAACTGTGGAGACAGGACAGGGTGGGCAACAGAAGCAGTTCTATGATGAATCAGCCCCAGGGCCCTGCCGGGTAATGACTGACAACCTTAAAGTGGGCAGGAGGAGGGTCTCTGCTTGTTCATCTGAGAAATGGCTTCTGCTGTCTTGTTGCCTCCTGGTTCTGGAGCTAGAAGAGGGCTTCCTGGGTCACTGTGGCTCATCTGTGCGGGGCCAAGAGTGGGAGTACCCAAGAGAGCTAAGGCTCTATTCAGTCCTTCTGGGATCAGATACCCAAGGCAGGGCATCTCCTACATCTGGGGGACCAAGGCTCCAAACTCCAAATTCCTTAGTTTTCCTGGCGGTATCCACATCCATGGCTGGTCAGGCCCACAGCCTGACTCCAGGACCTTCAGACCAGTCCCCAGTTTCAGACCAAGATTCAGCCTTAGACCCACTTTGAGGGTTTGGATAGAAGCTGCTTCTTTCTCCCATCAGACCGGTCCCTCCAGCTCTCCCACATCAAGCAGGGCTGGGTGAGGCAGAAGCAGGAGTCTGTGGCAGCAGTGGAGAAAAGCCAGGCTGTACTAAGAGCTGCCTCCAAGCTGGCATGGTGCCCAGTTCATCATTCCTGCCTTGGTGTCCAGGCCAGTGACCTGCTGCACCTTTGCATGCTGGGAACCAGACTGTCCCATCTCCACAGGGATGTGCCTCTCTCAGACCCTACATCATCAGAACCCCTGGAGAACACAGCCTGCTGTATAAGACCACCCCTCAAAGAAGCTAAATGACCTATCCAAGGTTAAGTGAATTATCCATGCTCTATTAAGCTAATAGGGTACAGATGTGCTTGTGTGTGCACGCGCGTGCGTGTGTGTGCGTGCACGTGTGCATGTGTGTGGATGACTCATATCCAGGTCTGTTGACTCCATACCATGGGCTCCTTCTAGTCCATGGTCCCCAAACCACACCACAGTTGTCTGCAGAGAGGGCAGCCCAGCCCACAGCTTCCTTTGTAGTGCCTTGCACTGAAATGTGCTCCATGGTCCAGTGGCATCAGCATCATCCCTGGGGGCCCTGTTAGAAATACAGAAACCTGGGCCTAACATAGCCCCCGAGTCCACACCTGAACTTTAATAAGATCCTCAAATGAGGTGGCACCCTTCAGGGTTTGAGAAAAACTGTCTGTGTTCACAGTGCGAGGCCTACTCTCGGAAGTCTGAATGACGGGACTCCCAGGGACAGCACTGCTCAGGTAATGCCGCTACCCTTCCTGTCCTGGGATGGCAAACCAAGCAGTGGATTCCTTCAGTCTATGCTGGAACTTCACACACAACCTGAATTGCTAAATTGACAGTGGAGTACAGTGAAACTCTTCAAAGTTCATAGTCATCTTGACATAAGGAGATTTGGGCCCTAACATCCCAGACATAATCCCTAACATGTCACTCAGATTCAGGAACTATTTTATCTGCGAGTCACCTGCTTACTGAGTGCTGCAAGCTTCCAGAAACAAAAGAGCAAACATGGGAGAGGCAGAGCAGAAAGAGGCAACTGGGACCCATGTCTGAGCTATCTGTCCTGCTGGGGGATAAAAAGCTGGAGTGGAGAGGATAGCGGCAGGTTCAGCTTGCTCTAGTAATCTCAACTTCTGCATTACTACCACTTGGGGCTAGAAAATTCTCTGCTGTGGGCTGTTGTGCATCCCTGATCGACTCCCTCCTCTACCCCACTCCAGATCATGACATCTGAATTGCCTAGAGTCGTTGTTCAATGTCACCTGGGGCACAAAATCATCCCTCGTTGAGAACCATTGATCTGGTGGAAAGAGATGAATGACAGAGGTGGGCACCTAGGGGACACTTGGGTCCTACTCAAATCCATTCATGGAGTTTCTCAGGCAAATAACTTGCTGGCTTCAGTTTTCCCTTCTATGAAATAGGACTCAGTTCAGACTCCTTTCAGCTCAGATGTCATGGGAGTCTAGAACCCTTTCCCCTTTCTGTTCCCCCATCCCACCAGTGGATGCCCCACCTTACCTGCCTGCTCAGCAATCTCTGTTCTCCCTCGAGGACACATTCTTTCTCCAGGACTCAGCTGTCACCTCCCCCTTCTCCTACCCCTCCATCTTCTAATAAGGAGCTATGTTGGCTCTGTTCCACCCTCAAAGGAACGTGTCTAAAGTCAACACTTCATCTTTGGACCTGGGAGCCCAGACCTCTGAATGCCTCCCAGAGTTCATTGGTACCCTTCCTTCTAGGCCTTCTGCTCTTATCCCCCAGTTTCCTGGTCTGCTAGTTGATCAAGTTCAAAGCCTTATTACCAGATCCCCAGATCATGGGTGGCCATGGGGCATTATGGGTCAGGACATAAGACCACCTGGGTTCTAACCTGCACTATGCCAATCACTAGTTGTGACTATGGACAAGTCACCTCATCTCTCTGACTCTTATTTTCTGTCTTTGGTGGGGATTTCATCAGGTCTCGGTGAGTAATTGAGATAACTTGTAGAAAGCTCTGCTGTGTGATAAACGGCCCTGTGTGTCACCTAGCAGGAGCAGCGGCATCTTTTGTGGCACCATGACAGCCCCACTCCTCCAGGCATAGGGCAGGCTCTGATGCACTGTCCCTGCTTGCAGTTGACAGATTAGGAACATTAACTTGTTATTCACTGCTTTGCACAAAGGTGGCCCCACTCTTCGCAAAATGAGCAGGGGGACTCCTGGTAGACTTGAAGGGTACCTTGCCCAAGCCTCAAGCTCCACTCAGAATATCCACAGGCCTTCCAGTGTAGCTCTCATCTCTACTTCAGGCAGCCAGAACAACCTCCCTGGATGAGTTCTCAACCCTCCCGGGCTTCAGATCTAGGTGCCAGGGGTTTGGCTCTCCAGCTAGGACCAGTGGGAGTAGGAGGATAACAACTTCTATTATCCTTGAAGAGGAAGAGTGCCACCCAGCCCTCAGATTGATTCACCCAGTCTCAAGGCATTCCGGGCAGGGGTCAGACCCTGCTTTGCCACTGAAGACACGGTACCAGGGAAGGTGAGTGTTCTCCCCGAGGTCACACAGTCAACCCAGGGGAAGGCAAGGCCTGTCTCCACCAAAGGCTTTCGCATCTGCCCTCAAGAGTCTATCTTCTGCCTACCCCAGAAGCCTACTGCCTTAAGGCCAGCGAGGGAAGGAAAGAAGTCAGTCCTTGCACCCGCATGTTTCTAGCTGATGGCTACAGGTGACTCGGACCCGCGAACATACAGCAAGGAAGGTCTGGGCAGATGAACACTGCAGGAGGGGACAGGGACATCTCTTTCCCAGGCTTCCCCTACCTGGGAAGCTGCCCACTGGATCTGGACCCGGAGCTTCCGCCTCTATCTGTGTACGGGTTCAACAGGTAAGAGTCCTGGCCAGCCGGCCGCACTCCGCGCTTCCGCCTTCCCGGGGACTAAGATTCAGCTCCGCCCCTTCCATTGGCCAGGTGCGACCTCAGCAGTCTCCAATCCGCCCAGGTTCCGCCCCCACCCGGAGAGACCCGCCCAGACCGGTCTCCGCGCCTGAGGCCGCCCTCTCCTCCGGCTCCACCAGGACCCCGCCCTGTGCCGAGGGCTGCAACAGGTGCAGCGTCCCTGTGGCCGGCCACCGGCTCTGCAGCCAGCCGGACCTGACGGGGGACTTTGGAATCCAGCGACCGAGGTCCTCCTGAATTTGCTGCCAGCTCGCGCTGTGACCTTGTGCAAATTCTTCTTCTGATCTGCGTGAGTCACCTTGCATGGTATCTGAGAGGACGTGAAATGACTTTGGAGGTGCTTGGCGCTCACATTTCCCGTTCAGGGCAGCTTTCCCTGACCCAGACACCCTAGTCCCGACAAGACCCTACTGTCACATGCTCACAGCCCATGGTTGTAATTCCGTATTTGCATGAATGACTATTTGATTAACATCAACCTCTTAAATTTTTTTATTTACTGGTTGGTTGGTTGGTTGATCGGTTGACTGATTTTTGGGGCTGAGGATAGAAGCCAGGGCCTCATGCACACTAGCCAGAGCTGTACCACTGAGATACAGCCCCAGCCAGGATTGCCTTCCTCTTTATTTGAATTTGAACTCCATAAGAGCAGATCACCTTCATGCTTTTGCTCCAGCGCTCAGGACAATGTCTGATATACAAGGGCGCTCAATAAATGCCTTGCTCCTTCATTCCTCCCTCCCAACTCACTGTCCAACTGCGGTGTGGGCTCAATACCGCCTCTGGCCAGCAGAGGGAAGATGGTGACCAGCCTTCTCACCGAGCCTCGCTCTCCTTTCCTGTGTATGTGCCGCGGGGTCGGACACAGGTGTGCCCAGGTGAGCTGAGGGCTGGGGCTCAGTCGGGAAAATCTGTCGCCTCTTGTACCGCTGGGGAGGGTTGTACCTCAGAACGGCTTTTCCCTTTGGATCTGTATTTCTTCGTCTTCTCTGGATCAAAGGCCTCTCTGACAATCTGAGGATGTATGGCTTCTGTGAGATATGCTGAGACAGATTAAAGGTGAAGGAGTTTGCAAAACAAGAAGGCGGGGAGAGAGAGGAAGAAGGGGGGGAGAGGAGGAAAGATGGAGGAGGAGGAGGACCAGGAGAGGGACAGGCGAGGGTGAGAGGATGTAGTAGTAGTGAGAGGCTGCTATCATTTTTCTGTGACCCAAAGTGCTTGCTTGTTTGACCTCAGTTATCCTCATGTTAGTATGAGTCTCTCCCCTTCCTTTCCGTTCCCTTCCCTTCCCCTTGCGGAGATCCTCCTTGCCTCAGCCTCCCAAGTGATGGAGTTACAGGCATGCACCACACGCCCAACTAATACCAGTCTTGAACCTAGTGTCAGGTTGCTACCACAGAGTAGCGCTGCCCGGAAGCACAGTATCTCAAGGTGGTCTGAGGGGCAGTGCCGTGCCAGAAATGTGTCCCTGGCAGCATAGGATATAACCAATACATGTGACAGTGAAACTCTGGAAACATCAGGAATGTCCTGAAGGAAGCTGAGAGGGAAGGAAGGCAATGGTTATAGCTTGGAGCTACAGATGCCAGAGTTGATCTTTTTTGTTTGTTTGTTTTGTATCAGGGATCAAACTCAGGACCTTGTGCTTTTGAGGCAGGTGACAGAACCACTGAGCTAAATCCCTGGCCCTGATCTACCTTTTTGAGCCTCAATTTCATCTGCAAAATGGTGATAAAATTTTCCTTGCTGGATATTGTTGTGAAGATCTATAGCATAAACTAAGTTAATAGTTCTCTCTTGGCTGTACAGACTGATGATCAGAATACTAGGACTTAACTTTCCAGGTGGTTGTAATGTGCAGCCAAGACTAAAAACCACAGAGCTAAATAAAGTGCTGAACACAGTACAGGGCACAGTAGGTATGCAGTAATGCTCATCACACTTTTTTAGTTTGCTTAGGAGCAAGATCTTCATTGCTCAGGCTGACCTCAAACTCCTGAGTTTAGCTACGTGATCTCCTGCTTCAGCTTTCTGAGTAGCTGAGACCAGGAGTGTGTACCACTATGCCTGGCTTTAGCTCCCAATTTTATACACGAGCACAAATTGTTTTCATTGTTCTTTGTTAGGGGGAAAATTTGACATAAAGGTCATTGCAGTGTTTCCAGAACTGTGAATCCTTGGTGGGGGTTTGGGGGGAGCACAGGCAATCCCAGTAGTATGGCTTGTGCTAACACCTAGCTGGGCTGAATAAGGCAGGGCCTGTGGTTCTTTAGCTTGGGATTTACATCACCATCTCCAAGGCATCCTTTAAGTGTGCGAGTATCATGGGCACTGTGTTTGCCCATTTCTGGAGTGAAGAGTAGAGGCCGGGTTCTCCTCTTCCTGGGTACATACCCTGGATGGGCATGGCCCACTGGCAGCAGTTGGTTTCTCATTGATCAGGGTGAGGTGGTGCTTCCTTCTTATGGAATTTGGTAGCCTATGTGCTTTGTTAACTCACTGATGCGTGATCACTGCTGAACCCTGCCCGCTGTGTTCTTGCTGGCTGACCCTGCACGGGGTGAGGAGACCCTCTCACCCAGGATGCAACCATGGCCATATGGCACAAGAAGCTGCTGCAAGCAGTTCTTTGACCGCTTCAGGTGGCCTTAATTAATGTGGGAAGGCATGTGATGAATGCTGGTTTTGTCTCCCTGTGGCATGCATACCTGGGGGACAGGAGGTGAGCAACTGTTGTGAGAGTAAGATTGCCAGATTTTACAAATAGACCTGTCACCTCTTGCATCACTGGCAAGGTCTAGACCATGAGTTTTTCAAGAAAATGCAAATGAAGAACTCAGCATGATGTCTGCACATAAAAGAAAAGGAAACCAATTAAATTTGGACATCAAATATACAACGCATGTGTTTTAGTGTGTGTCCCATGCAATCTTTAGGACACACTACAGAAATGATTCATTGTTCATCTGAAATTTATATTTAACTGGCTATCTGTTATTTGTATTTGCTAAATCTGGCAAGCCTATGTCTGTCCAAACAGGCAAACCTCCAGGACACGGCACCTGCTGCCCATAATAGCCTCCTGCCCAACTTCACCTGTCACTGAGGGCCTCCAAAACTCTTCACGGTTCCCAGCTGCTTCCACGGTGTGATTAGGACTCCCTGGCTATTGTGCTGGGTCTTAGCCCAGCTGACCAGCATGGATCCTGTCCAGCATGGATCCACTTCTGCTCCTGTCCTTGTTTACCATACCTGGAATATCTCCTGCCACTGCCACGAGCAAATGCTAATGCTGAGTACCTACTGGGTACAGACACCATGCTGAGTTCATTTCCACTGTGGCTTTAAATTCTCCAAAAACCCAGAAGGGAGGATACAGCAGTTATTCTCATTTTAGCAAAGAAGAGAATGCTCTAAAACAGTGATTTTTAATTTTAATTAATTAACTATTAATTTTGCAGTGCTGGGGATGGAACCCAGGGTCTCTCACATGCTAGGTAAATTCTCCACCACTGAGCAACATCCCTAATCCCGACAGTGTTTCTTAAAATGTGGTCCCTAGACTAGCAGCATTAGCAGTACCTGTGAACTTGTTAGAAATGAACATTGTCAGGCTCCATTCCCAACTGAACAATGAGTCAGAAACTCTGGGGTGGGGTGGCAGTCCGTATTTTAATAAGTTCCTTTCCTCTCTCCCCTCGGGTGATTCCGATGCTCTAGTTTGAGATCTGTGGCTCCAGGAGACCAAGTAATCTCCAGAGTCTCACATTCCTTGCTACAGAGGAACAGAGATGGCAGAGGCTGCCAGGTAGGTAATGATTTTACTGACACCATGCCTGGGGTCACACTGGACATGCTCCAGGGACCCCACAGTCTTCGAGTGTGTGGTACTGAGGGCTGAACCCAGGGCCTTCCCACTGAGCTACAGCCCCACTCACTTAAAACAAATTTCTTTTGAGATCTGTCTCGCCAAGTTGCTGATTCTGGGCTCGAATTTGTGATCCTCCTGCAAGAGCCTCGAAGAGTGCTGGGATTCCAGGTGTGCCCCCACAGCGCACTCAGCTCACAGGCTTGGAAGTTCAGAGGGGAAGAGCAGACACCAAGGGGGCAACTTCATCATAAGATGATGAAGGCTGAGGCAGAGAAAGCCCAGGAGCCTATCAGCGAGGCAAGAGAAAGCTTTCCCAAGTAGATGGGTCAACGAGATAACCTGGAATTCCATGGGGAGGGGTGGGATAGTGTTCCAGGTGGGGGAACTTTGTTTGGACCCCGGCTGTGCGGAGCCACCTGGAAGAGGTTCACTGTTGGAGGAGGAGCGACGTGAGAGTGTTTCGTGGAGCTCCCTGCTCTTAGAGCAGAGCAGGTCTTAAGTATTGAGAAAAAGCCCTCTGGCTTCCAGCAGAAGTAGGCACGGGAGAAGATGAATGGTGGTGGTGAGGAGAGACCCAGGGGGAGAGAGATCCTCTCCTTCCCTTAGATCAAGAGAGCGTCTTAAAACTCCCAGGCGTTTGCACAGAATCAACCACCCATTGCAGCCCTGGGCAGGAGTACCAGCACTTCCCGAATGAGGGAAGAGGTGGGGCGGGGAAAGAAGCGCCGCCCCGCCCCCTTTGCTTCCATCCCGCCCCTTTCCTTCACGTCGGCCCCGCCCCCGCCTCCGCCCTGGGTGTTGGTGGGGGCGTGTCTCTTCTCTCAACCTTCTGGGGACTGGCCCTGGATAGGATTACAGATCTACTTGGAGCACAGGAGACTTCCATTTCCAAAGAAGCTTCTGCTGCCAGCTGAGGCCTGTCAAGCCCTGGCCAGATTGCTTAGTAGTGCAATATGGGGCTGGGCAGTTCCGGGCTCTAAATGCCCTTCCCGGAAAGACATGAGATCGCCGAGCCTTTTTGGAATTCATTTGTGATTTCTAGTCTAGAGAAGAATACTGACGGTCATGAACCTCTGTATGAAGTGGAACTTT